TCTACACTTGCTACGCCTCCTGCCATTTCTGCAGCTGTCCAGCTTTCGCTTTCTCCGTGTTGCGGAAAGGGGACAACCTCGTGGTGAGTGGGCAGGAAAGGGAGGGGCAGGGAGGGGCCGAGCCCCATGTGGGCGGGGGGGGCAGGGGGGGGAGAAGAGCGTCTTGGAGGAAGCCGGCTTGTTAGATGTGTGTGTGTGTGCGTGTGTGTAACACACGCTAGAATGTTTGTCCGGTGACGCACTCTCCCCATTGTGCGTCTTTCCCTGAAGTTTGTGCAAGGGAGGAAACAGTTGTGTTGAAAGAAGGTGACGCGGGTAGGGCAGGGTGGGGGAAAGCGGGGGTCTGCTCACCTGCGGGGGGGGGGGGGGTTTTTCAATTCAGACCAGAGCTGGAAGGGACCTTGGAGGTCATCTAGTCCAGCCCCCCCTGCTCAAACAGGAGACCCTATACAAGTTCAGATAGGTGGCTGTCCAGTCTCTTCTATAAAATCTCCAGTGGGAAGGAAGGAAGGAAGGAGGGAGGGAGGGAGGGAGGGAGGGAAGGTAGGTAGGTAGGTAGATAGGAAAGAAGGAAGGAAAGGAAGGAGGAAGGAAGGAAAGAAGGAAGGAAGGAAAGAAGGAAAGTAGGTAGGTAGGAAAGAAGGAAGGAAGAAGGAAGGTAGGTAGATAGGAAAGGAAGGAAGGGAGGAATGAAGGAACGAAGGAGGAAGGTAGGTAGGAAGGAAGGAAGGTAGGAAGGAAGGAAAGAAGGAACGAAGGAACGAAGGAGGAAGGAAGGTAGGCAGATAGGAAGGAAGGAAGGAAGGAAGGAAGGAACGAAGGAGGAAGGAAGGTAGGCAGGTAGGTAGGTAGGAAGGAAGGAAGGAACGAACGATAGCAGAATAACTGAGTTGGAAGGGACCCCCCCAAAAATAAGCCCTAATTAAGATCCTGCCCACTCCAGAATGGAGGATAAAAATTAAGCTGATGAGGGCGAGAAATGGGGTGGTGGAGCTGACCTACTACTTACCTTTGGACAGGTGTAGCCAGGCCTCACACACACCCCAACACCTGCCTTGCCAGCCCATTTCTTCTGCAGCCAGCAAGGCTGGCAAGGCTTTCCTGAAGGCCTCTGGAGCTGAGAACCAAGCTCAGGATCGATCCTATCGGCTGCAGAGGCCTTCAGGAAAGCTTTGCCGGCCGCAGAAGTTCCTGAAGGCCTCTGACAGCGAAAAGGAAGCCAGAGGCGACACACACAAATGAGGTTAGTCAGTGGATGATGTCCTCCTAAAATAAGACCTGGTGCCTTTTTTGGTGGCAAAAAATATATATATGACAAGGTCTTATTTTCGGGGAAACACGGTAAGCGCTCTTGCTAATACAAGTAATCCTTGACTTAAAACCACTCATTTGGTGATATCGACTGTGACAAAAAAAAAAGGTCATGGAATGGAGCACAACTCACTTAACGACCGCCTTGTTCAACAATGGAAATTTGAGGCTCAAATTATGGTTGTTAAGTCAAGGACTACCTGGATAAGAAATGTGATTTTACTTACAGGAGTCCTCTAAGAAACAGAAGAGAGTTGTGTTCACCGTAGACAATCGAAACCCCAGCGAAATTTCCTCCAAAGACAATGGAAGTCTGGAGCTCATCCTGTGCACAGGAACCAGTGGGAAACTATGGGGCAGGTTCTCTCCAAGGGGTCAGGATGTAGCCCGGAGATTCCCACGCTCCCGCCCAGCCTCTCCCCACCTCCCCGAGGGAAAATGAGCGGGGTGGACAAGGCCTCCGTAGCCGTGGGAGGACAGCTATGGTTAGTTTAGGACAGAGGTAGGGAAGGATAGCTCTTTGATGACATTTGGACTTCAACTCCCAGAATTCCTGAGACAGGATGGGCAACAATGGCCCTTTGATGACGTTTAGACTTCAACTCCCAGAATTCCTGAGACAGGATGGGCAACGATGGCCCTTTGATGACGTTTAGACTTCAACTCCCAGAATTCCTGAGACAGGATGGGCAACGGTGGCCCTTTGATGACATTTAGACTTCAACTCCCAGAATTCCCGAGCCACATTTATCTAAATAATGTTATTTAAATAGTTTTTTTATTCTGTTAAATAATTTTTATTCTATTCTGTTATAAATGGTATAGGTGGGATTCAAAAACCCCAGCAACCAGTTCTCTGCCCGGTTGGTGGATAGGCCTGGCCATGGTGGGTGTGGCCTACTGGAACTTCCGGGGGGGGGGGGGGCTGTTTTTCACCCTCCCCAGAATCCGGAGGCTTCCCTCAGGCCTCTGGGAGGGCGAAAACAGCCTCCCCCGGACTCCGGAGGTCCTCCGGAAGCCGGAAATAGGCCCGTTTCCAGACTTCCGGTTCGTTTTTCCCTCTCCCAGAGCCTCCGCGCAGACCCTGTAGTTACCTGCATCCAAAATGGGCCATATGGAGACTCCGGGGTGGGGTGGGCAGGGCCAGCTGTTCAGTTCAATTATCCGTTTGGCCAACCAGATGTTAAATTTAACAACTGGTTCGCCCGAACCAGTCTAAACCAGTCGGATGAATCCCCACCCCTGGCTATAGAGGTTTTTGCTTGAGCTGTGTGTGTGTGTGTGTGTTAGACCTCCACCTCTCTTATTCTGTTAAGCAGGTTTTCTTTAAACAAGTATTTTTTTTAATTGAAACTCAGTTTAAATTATTCGAATTTTATTCGACATAAAAATTTTGCTCCCGTAAAACTGGTTGGTTGCAAGATGGGCTGCTCTTCTCCTAATTATTATTATTATTATTTTCCTGGGATTTTTCTCCTGCACCAAACTTTCCCACACTCGGCCTCTAATGGGGTTTGCTCTCTGTTGTTGTTGTTGTTGTCGTGTGTTTTTGGTAGTGTAAGCACATCCTCGCCATCTATCTGAGCCGAGCGACCGGCGCTTGCCAGGAGCAAAGCATCTCCAACCAGCATCTGACGGCCCTGCTCCTCCCCGAGGAGAAATGAGGACGGAAGGAAGTTGAGAAAAAGGACGAGGAAATGTGAGCTGTAACCACGGGTGACTGGAAGCGTTTTGAGCTGGGTGTGCGTCTTTTCCTTCTACCCCGTTGTGTCCTGCTCCTGTTTTCTGCTCAGAAATGACCGATGACTGTCGTTGTGGGTTCCCCCTGGGGGACAATTTTATGTAGCTCTGGACTGCATACACACACACACACACGTCACATTCGGAAACGATTAACCCTGAAAAGTGGATTGCAGCAAATATCTTTAAAGTATTTTTTCCGCAAGGATGAAAACGACGCCAGTAAATTGGGAGGCCAAGTTTGACTTTGGCAAGTGTTTTATTAAAAAAAGAAAGAAAAGAAAAGGAAGAAAAAGAGGGGGCGGGGAGAGTGAGAGAAAGAAAGAAAGAAAGAGAGTGAGAGAGAGAAAGAAAGAAAGAAAGAAAGAAAGAAAGGTAGGAAGAAAGAAAGAAAGAAAGAAAGAAAGAAAGAAAGAAAGATGGAACCACTTAGAGAGGGCTATAAAGCATTGTGAAGCGCCATATAAGTCTAAGTGCTATTGCTTGGGAAGAAAAGAAGGAGAAAAAGGAGGGAGGGAGGGAGGAAAGAAAAGGGAGGGATAGGAACGAAGGAAAGAAAGAAAGAAAAAGAGAAAAGGAAAGAAAAAGAAAGGAGGAACCGCTTAGGGCTGTAAAGCATTGTGAAGTGCTATATAAGTCTAAGTGCTATTGCTTGGGAAGGAAGGAAGGAAGGAAGGAAGGAAGGAAGGAAGGAAGGAAGGAAGGAAGGAAGGAAGGAAGGAGAAAAAGGAGGAAGGAAGAAAAAAGGGAAGGAATGGAAAGAAAGGAATGAAAGAAGGATGAACTGCTTAGACAGGGCTGTAAAGCATTGTGAAGCGCCATATAAGTCTACGTGCTATTGCATGGGAAGGAAGGAAAAAAGGGAGGGAGAGAAAGAAGGAATGGAGGAGAAAGGGAAGAGGGGGAAAGGAGAAAAGGGAGGGAGAGAAGGAAAGAAAGAAAGAAAAGAATGGCAATTGTTTAAATCTAGCTTCCCCTTTGCCAATTTAAACCAATAATTTAGTTCAGAGTAAGACAAAAAAAGATCCCCCTTTAAAACTCTCTCCATTGCATTCACAATATTTTAATTAAAAAAAGCACATCCGTTTTATACCATTTACTGGCCTACTTAAAAAGGATTTCCCATACGAGAATACCAGCAGCATCAAATAACTGATGACAAACTTAAATTAATCTTTAAAAAAAAAGACTTGAGCGGGTAAAGTTAACAGCCTCGTACAAAACACCAAATTATCACATGTATTAAAAGTTTCAGTTCCCTTGCTCCTGTGGTTTTATTTTTGGAGCGTGGCAGGACCACAAAGCCATTTCACAGATGACACCCTCCCACCTACACAGGCAGACAAAAACACAAAGGGCAGCACGGTTTTGAAAACCTGCCCTTCTAATGGAGGCAAAGATTAAAAACAATTAAACGGTAAATTAAATCTCACCATCGTTGAAAGGGCTCAGGCAGCAGAAGCCCTTTAATTGTACGCCAGTATTTCCCAAACTCAGCGCCATGAAACGGTGTGGACTTCCACTCCCAGAATTCCAAGCCCAGCATGCTTTAAAATGGGGTGGACTTCAATTCCCAGAATCCCCCAGTCAGCCATGCTTTAAGATGGGTGGATTTCAACTCCCAGAATTCCTCAGCTGGCATACTTTGAGATTGGTGGACTCCCACTCCCAGAATTCCAAACCCAGCATGCTTTAAAATGGGGTGGACTTCAATTCCCAGAATCCCCCAGTCAGCCATGCTTTAAGATGGATGGACTCCAACTCCCAGAATCCACCAGTCAGCCACGTATTAAAGTCCACCCATCTTAAAGCTTGCTGCCTAGGGAATGTTGGGAGTTGAAGTCCACACGGCGTCCCGTTGCTGAGGTCGAGGAACGCTACTGCGTGCAAAACAAAAACTGAGCCATTCTTGTTCCAACACTCCCGCATATCGCAGGAAGTCGCAGGGGTAGTCCTTGACTTACGACCAGTCACTGTTCCAAATTACCACAAACCTCTCCAAGGGTTACCGAACACCCAGTTCTGAAGTCGCAACAGCCAGTTCCCCCCAACATGGTCAAGTGAACGGATTTTAGGTGCTTGTCCATCAGCTTACGGCCCTTCGCAGCGTCTCTTGGCCACACGACAGGTATTACGACATTTCTGCCCACCTCCAAAAATTTACTTCTTCTAGTTTTTGGCCAAGCCAGCCCTTACTAAATGACTGCTTTGAGGAAAAAAACCCATCAATGTGGGGTGACCCCCCCCTCCTCCCGTTTCCCACCGTCAATGACTTAGTCGAAATGGACGGTCGTAAGTCGCGGACTACCTTGAATATGAACCTCCTGGCCGCTTGTTTCCCACTGAACAGCGCGATGTGTGTGTGCTGTTCCGGACAGAAAAAAGACCTTTTGACCGTCCAGGTGACCTCAAACGTAGGTCGGCGATGTGTTCAGGTTATTCCCCGCCAAGTGACGGCTGCTACCGCCGCTGTTGCACCCTTTGGGGTAGTTGGGAAAATCCTCGTTCCTGCAGAGGACGTAACGCGACAGGATCTTCCGGAACGTATACCGGAAGTCCTGGATACGGTAAGCGTAAATGATTGGGTTGACCACCGAGTTGGTGTGGGAGAGGATGATGGTTAGATACATCATCCACTCCCGCTTGCTCTTGGCGAAGGTGGGGTAGAAGAGAATCAGGCAGTTAAGGATGTGCAGCGGCAGCCAACAGAGGGCAAACAGGCCCACAATGATGGCCAGCGACTTGGCGGCGCTGACCTCCTTCTGCAGCGTCATCCGGCAGTTGCCCACCAGTTCGATCTGCCGCAGCTGCTTGCAGGCCACGGCGAAGATCTTGATGTAGATGCAGAGCATGATGAAGAGGGGCAGGAGGACGCAGCCGAAGAAGTTGAAGTACACCATGTAGCTCATGGGCACCACGTTCTCGAAGAGGCAGGTCACCCGGCGGTCCCCGCTGGGCCTCCGCGTCTCGTTGGTGCAGTTCTGAACGGCGCCCATCTTGTTCCAACCCATCAGCGGCGTCAGGCCGATGATGAACGAGAGGAGCCAGAGGACAGCGATGAGTCCGCGGGCTCGCTTCCCTGTCACCAGGCTCTTGTATCTGCGAGAAGAAAGCGGGACGAGAAAAATGGGGTCACACAAATGGGATAAGATCACCTTCTGCCCCTCGGGGAAGGATGGTTGGGTAGAGGGGGGTCCTCGAATGAAGAGCACAAGGGAGCCCCGAATTTCTCTTGTTAAGGGAGAGGTTTGTTAAGGGCTTTTGGGCCCTCGTTTTATGGTTTTTCTCACCCCAGTTAATAGTGAATCGCTGTTGTGGTTAAGTTGGTAACCCGGCGGTTAAAATGAATCTGGCTTCCCGTTGGCTTTGCTTGTCAGAAGGTTAGAAGAATAAGAATAGGATAGGATTTAAATGGGATGGAATGGAACGGAACGGAATAAAATAAAAAAGGAAGGAAGGAGGAGTAGAACATAGTAGAGTAGAGTAGAATAGGAATACGAATAGTATAGAAATAGAACAGAAATAGAATAGTATAACAATAGAATAGAATAATAAGAATAGTATAATAATAGAATAGAATAATAATCGAATAGAATAGGGAGGGAGGGAGGGAAGGAAGGAAGGAAGGAAGGAAGGAAGGAAGGAAGGAAGGAAGGAAGGAAGGAAGGAAGGAAGGAAGATAGATGAGAAAGTGGGAAGGAAGGAAGGAAGAGGAGAAAGTGGGAAGGAAGGAAGGAAGGAAGGAAGGAAGGAAGGAAGGAAGGAAGATGAGAAAGTGGGAAGGAAGGAAGGAAGGAAGGGGAGAAAGTGGGAAGGAAAGAAGGAAGGAAGGGGAGAAAGTGGGAAGGAAGGAAGGAAGGAAGGAAGGAGAATAGTAGAATAGAATAGAAATAGAATAATTATAGAATAGATAGAAGATTAGAATAGAATAGCATAGAATAGAATACAATATAGGATAGGATAGGATAGGGTAGGATAGGATAGGATAGGATAGGATGAGCTGGAAGGGGCTTTGGAGGTCTTCTATTCCAGCCCACTGCTCAAGCAGGAGTCCCTATACCATTTCAGACAAATGGCTGTCCAGTCTCTTCTTAAAAGCCTCCAGTGATGGAGAACCCAGAAACTTCTGGTGGCAAGCAGTTCCACCGGTTAATTGTCCTCACTGTCTGGAAATGTCTCCTTAGTTCTAGGTTGCTTCTCTCCTTGATCAGTTTCCATCCGTTGCTCCTTGTCCTGCCTTCTGGTGCTTTGGAGACTGGGTGGTGGACCTCTCCCTCGCAACAATTCGTTTAGCGACTGCTCAAAGTTACAACGGCAACTGGAAAAAGTGATTCATGACTGTTTTTCCACCCTTATAACAGTTTGCAGCATCTCCATACTTACGAACAGTCGCGGGGTCCCTGGGGGTCACGTGATCCCCTTTTGCGACCTTCCGACAAGCGAAATCAAAGGGGGAAGCCGGTTCCACTTTAACGACCAGGGTGTTAACTGAGGAACTTGCAGGGATTCACTTAACAACTCCGGTGAGATAGGTTGTAAAACGGGCCAAACTCACTTAACCAATTTCTCACTGAGCGGCATCAATATTTGGCTCCATTGGTGGCGGGGAGGGGTATAAGTCCACAATTGTACTCTTTTTTTTTTTCTCGCGGGGGGGTGGACAACGAAAGAGGCGGTCAACCCCAGCAGGACGAGCTTGGAGGCCGGACAAGAACAATGAGGTGATATGAGAAAACAGCAGGACAAAGGAAGGCTCACAGCTGGACGTTGGGCCTTGAATGGAAGGCGGCTTCCCCTCCCCAAATTCCCCAAATTCCATAAATGTGATGGACCTGTACCCTGCACGAGTCAAAAAGAGGGCTGTGAAAATATCTACACACCCCCTCACACATCCCGGACATAAACGGTTTCAACTCCAAAACGACGCTAAAGAGCACTCCACGCCAGAACAACTAGACACAAGGGGAGTTTTTTCCCGAACGCCATCACTCTGCTAAATAAATAATTCCCTCAACATTGTCCAACTATTGACTAAGTCTGCACTACTATTACTGTTAATCACTCCTTATCACCCATCCCCTCCCTCTTGTGACTGTATGACTGTAACGTCGCTATCCTAATGATTTATATTGACTGTTTCCTAGTATGATTCTATTCTATTCTATTCTATTCTATTTCTATTTCTATTTCTAATTCTATTTCTTATTCTATTCTAATTCTATTTCTATTTCTCTATTTGTATTATTTCTATTTCTATTTCTAATTCTATTCTAATTCTTATTCTTATTTAATTCTAATTCTATTTCTTATTCTATTCTAATTCTAATTCTATTCTAATTCTATTTCTATTTCTCTATTTCTATTATTTCTATTTCTAATTCTATTCTAATTCTTATTCTATTCTAATTCTATTTCTTATTCTATTCTTATTCTATTTCTATTTCTATTTCTATTTCTATTTCTATTTCTATTTCTATTCTATTCTAAACAGGAATGCTGAATATTGTGGAAAAGTTGCTATCCCATCCTATCTTCAAGAGCTGCAAGTCGGCCTAAACGACTCCTCCTCACAACGTCCCTGTGAAGTGATAAGCAGCACATAAGTCTAAAATGATACTGAGGTGGCTAATACATGCAATCCTCGTCTTAAAAACCATTCGTTTAGTGACTTGCAACAGTACATTTCGTGACCATTCAAAGTTATAGCAGCACTGAAAAATGTTCACTTAGGACTGTTGTTCACACTTATGACCGTTGCAGGATCTCCCAGGATCAGGTCATAAAAATTCAGATGCTTGGCCACTGACTCGTATGACCGTCACAGCAAACAAAGTAAACCAGATTCACTTAACAATCCTGTGACTAAGTTAACAACTTAAAGCAGGCTGGCTGGGGGATTCTGGGAGTGGAAGTCCGCCCCACTTAAAGCATGCTGGCTGGGGGATTCTGGGAGTGGAAGCCCTCCCTCTTAAAGCATCCTGGCTGGGGGATTCTGGGAGTGGAAGTCCACCCCTCTTAAAGCACCCTGGCTGGGGGATTCTGGGAGTGGAAGTCCGCCCCACTTAAAGCATCCTGGCTGGGGGATTCTGGGAGTGGAAGTCCTCCCCCCTTAAAGCATCCTGGCTGGGGGATTCTGGGAGTGGAAGTCCTCCCCTCTTAAAGCATCCTGGCTGGGGGATTCTGGGAGTGGAAGCCCACCCTTCTTAAAGCATCCTGGCTGGGGGATTCTGGGAGAGGAAGTCCTCCCCTCTTAAAGCATCCTGGCTGGGGGATTCTGGGAATCCTCCCCTCTTAAAGCATGCTGGCTAGGTAATTTTGGGAGTTGGTCATTACAGTTTAGTTGTCCCGGTATAGGAACATTGATCTACTCTCTGGATGCACATAGATGCAAAAAAATAAAATAAAAAAAATCAAGGTTGTTAACACACCACAAAATACCTTAATATTTCTTAATATTTCAATTTATTGATGGGGAGCCTTGCGTATTTCCACAAAGTCTTAGTGCAGCCCTTGTTTTTCGCTTGCTTCATCTATGGATGGAGCCATGCCAGCAAAACACCATTAGAGAGAAAAACAACTCGAGAGAGACAGAAATTTGAAAGGCCATTTGCCAATGGCGCCTGGAAATGGCTACTGCTGGAGGACGGGTGGAGTGAGGAAGAAAGAGTGAGGAAAGAAAGAAAGAAAAAAAAACTTAAGAAAAGGGTGTAATTGCCCAGCTGCTACCGGCGTTTTCACATTTAGTTAAACGGCACTCAAGCCAGCCAGCTTAGGGTGTGGGGTAGACTTTCCTTAGAGAAAAAAAACCAACTCCTGAATGACAAACCTTTTCATTTTGTAGGGAGAAAAGAGAGAGGGGGAAAAAATACCTCCTACTTCTTTGCTTTTTCAAGGAAGCTCGTCGGCCCTATTCGAGGGCCCCAGGGTGCTTCCTGTGCACCCCAAATTTCCATGGGAACCGTCCCTCACAATTTCCACAAAAGTGAAAGCAGCCAAACCCAAACCCGGCTTGAAAAGAAAGATTTAAAAGCTCTTTCTCTCTCTCTGAATTTCATTTAGTTGCTTTCCCGCTTTGATCCAAATTGAGGGCAGGGTCTTTATTGCAAATGGGGTACAAAGGAAGCGAGGGCTCTCCTAGCTCGCGTTAAACCCACCCATGGGGATTTAAACCTTTGCCACCCCAAAAGCCACCTTGGAAATGTCAGGTCAGCTTTGCAAACCCCACGCAGCCCGTCTTCAAGGCAGCGGAGCTGAACAACTATTTGCTCTGTTTAGAATAATATTTTCCAACCACAGCGATCAAGTTATCGCTGACTGAGTAAGGGAGGGGAAAACATGCTTTAAAAAAAAGAGAGGGCACCCTTTCTTTTTTGAAGTTTGTTTTCACGGCAGAAG